AACAAATTAAACATATCCACAGCCAATTATTAACAATTTGCTCTAGCACAGAATTGCAAATTGTTATTACCCCTTTTTTCCCCCATACAAATAACCTTAGCAGAGCTTTGCTATGGTCTATTCATACATATTTTTACTGTTACAGTATTTCAGGAGGGTTAAAGTGCCATCCACAGTGTCCAGGGAAAACAAACTGGCTCCCATGCTTCCACTGGCATTGCAATTAGGATCACAAGAAAATCCAGATCTCAAGACCAAATTCCTTTGGATATTGTGAGCACGTTGAAAAGGAAGTACTACAAGTTTCTCTTAATGCACCATCCAGAAGCATTACTTCACCTGGCAATAATTCACAAGTTTCCTAGCAGCTAAATATTTCACAGATAGAGTTAAATAGACAGAAGAGGTTTCAAACACATTCAGATTCTGCCTGGGAAAGGAATTTTCCACTCTGTACTACTGAGAAAAATGAAGATGCTGTAGGCTATGGTATCATGTTCAGAGGAACAAGGTGGGTAGGATAGGGCATTAGGCACTATTATACTCCAGGGAAGAAAGAGCAGACAGGGGCACAATAGAAGCGCTTCATTATATTTTAAATGGGAATAGTTCCAAGGATAGGAAAGCCTGTGGTGCTTGTAAAGGATTAAGCAGGGTAATGTGCTTTTTAAGAAGACATAAAGAGGTATGTAATGTGATATCTTTAAGCCTAAATGATTTTTCTTGGAGTCCTCAATGAATGTTTAAGCAGGCATGACTTGGGCCTCTGTAAATCCTCTCTGAATAAATAACTTCCGCAAAAATAGAGATTCCTAGGACAGAATGAGATGCATGAGATGCAAAAAAAAGGAAAATCAATTTGAGACACATGAAACACTTAGGAATAATAAAGAAAAAGGGAAGATAAAAGTGAATATTCTCCAGAATAATCCAGGCTTATAAAAAAAAAATATAGCTACCTCCCCCATCCATTTTGATTTGACAGTGCAGGAAGACAAACAACTGAGTGCTTCCCTACCTTATATTCAGACCTTCAACAGCTTTTTGCTGTCTTTTGAGACAGGAAGAGACAATAAGTGGAAGAAAATATCTAAAGTGCCTGTGCTTTTCAGGCTGTCTCCTGTTAGAGGTATTTAAAACTGCTCTCTCTTCAGGGTAAATCTATCCAGCTGCTCTCTAGCTGGACCTGTGGTATTTATAGCTGTTCACTATGGATGGAACAGGAGCACACACAGTGATATGTATGCACCTGATTTATGAGAGGAACAGGACCAATAAATATCAAAACCTGAAAACTTACAATGGCGTGATCTTCCCATCTTATTTCTCTTGTCTGCCCTGCCCTCCTGCCAGGAAAAGCAGGTCACAGCAGCAGAATGCCTGATTTAAAGTGGGGCTGAGCAATCACTGTCATTTGGCTGCATTGTATTTGCACTCACACAGGTGCCACTCCCCACAAAGACTCTGGTACAGCAAGCAGGCAGCCCTGCTGAGCGAGAGGGGTGAGGTGCTGAGGGAATCAGTGGTTGGCCTCTCTCCTCTTCCCCCTGTTTATATATACATTAGCATTAGACTGCTACTTTCCTCACAATAAAATAGTGCCAGCTCCACTGGGGTTGTCAAGATAAAAGCAAGACAAAACGAAAGAACTTTTGGGACTTTACAAAAATATTTTGGTAAGTGTCTTCTGTGAAGGCTCCTTGCAAACCTCATTTAAGCTCTGAGGTGGTGCAGCAAGGGGTGCTGCTAAAGATGGGAGTGTCCACTGCATCCCTGCACAGCTGTTTCCCATGGTGGTCCCCTCTTTCCCAATCCCTTCGTGGTCATTACCCAGCTGAGTGGGAGTCCCTTTCCCTGTCCCTGTCTGGAGCACTCATGAAATCTCTGCTGTCTCACTTGGCACCCCAGGAAGGGTTGCTGAGGTGATGCTCTCACAGAGCCTGGACAAGCTGCTGTTCAGTCACACTTTAGTGCTGATGAATGGGGGAAATAAAATGAGGCACAGAGGAAGACCTGTTGGTGTATCTTGCCCAGGGTTATAATCAGGTTAATAGCTCTGATGTGGCCAGATAAATTCATTAAAGACCCTGAAGAGCATTATGAAGCATATAAATAGGCCAAGGGGACCCATTAATTCTTTATGAAATGTTTTCATTTTTTGAAATGTGTTACAGAGATTATAATCTCTGCCTTTTATCAGATACCTTTTAAATTATTAGTTTTCCTTGCCTAAGATCAGCTTTTAACATCACTTTCTTTATGCAGCTTTCTTTCCAAGCAGGCCGACTACAACTTCCCAAAAGCTTCTTGTGAAGAGCAGCTGGCAAATAATCTTTTTCTGTGCAATTTCTTCCTGTGAATTGAAGGAAGGGGAGAAATTGGGCACCCACAGGTAGATGAAAGTTCATTAGCATCAGACCTAAGGCCTCTGTTTTTTTAAAACTGGAAGCTGGTTGGCTTGCTCTCTTGACACAACTTAGTTTTTGACATCATTGTTTGCCTATTTCTGGGAAGCAAAAGCATGGGAAATAAAGAACTTGGATGTTTCTGGTTTTGTAGGTTTTAGGACAGCAACTCCCACGTCTCCAAGAATGAAAATTCAAGGACTGTAATCTGGAATTACCTGCCAGCAGGATATACCATTTGTTTGGTTCTTCAAGCTAAAATTTGTTAGTGAGCACAGCTGTGTTTGATGTACTCTGGTCTTTTGAGCCTTCTGAAACTCATTTTATAACTTGGGAAGGGAAACCAGAAGGAGGGCAGGTTCTTGGTTTTGGGCTTTTTATATATATATATACAAAAGACAAATCCCAGCTTTATCAGCCACTTACAAACTGAGCTAAAATATGTTCTCTCAAAAAAAGCAATTTCCTCTAGCCAATAAATCTTCAGACCTTTTTTTCTTGCTCTTTCAGCTTATGACTTTATCTAAAAGGGTTTCAAAAGTGCAGTTCCCCAGGACCTCTGCCGCCTCTTTTTTAATGCTGTTTAGTCCTTCAGAGGAGAAAATATGATCTTGGTTATCCAGAGGCTGGGTTGGGGATTTTTAAAACTCTAAATAATCTTTTTTATTTTTCAGTTCTTCTATTATCAAAACCTCACCAGTGATTGCATCATTCTTCTTAACATACTCTTTTCTCTTGTTACTGTCTAAAGTGAGAACATCAGAAATGTCAGGTTTTCCTGGCCAATGGATTTTGGTGGAGACCAAAAACCAGAGTTCATCTGGATTTTCAGAAAAATCGAGATTGTAACAATGTGAACACACACCTTATGGATATTTTCTGTAAGAAATCGTCACATATTGAAGTTTAAAATAAAGTCAGCAAAATATTCTATTTCTTTGATTTGATTTACAAGTCTGAATATAAAGATACAACACTAGAGGAAAAGCTTGTGTACAGTAACTCATCAACTTATATTGACTCTTAAACTGAATCCTTTCATGGACTGGTGTTTCTTTAAAAGCTGCAGTTGTCAGCCAGAATTTGGGAGGGAGCTACTGCATTCACAAATGTGCCTACAAAAAGCTCTCAAAGTGTTTTTCCACTGCCAAACCTACTGCAGAATGTGTTTCTGAGACTCTTTTTAAAGTCAAATCATCCATTCCTGCCTTTGTCTCTCAAAACAAACGTGACCCAGAGCTACAACAGAAGGCCAGGATTTTCAGTGTCAGGAGACTACAAAATAAAGCTAATCAATTTCTTGTATTCTGGGGTATAGAATTCGCAGGGATCCCCGACGAGGGGAGAGAAGGATGCCTCTGTGTGAAAGGGGCTAGCAGCGGGCCTGTTAGCTAAAGGAGCGAGAAGTAACAAGAAGAAGAAGCTGATAAGGAGCTTTCTCCAAGGCCATAACCAAGGAGATCGAGAGAAGGAAGATAAGAGCATTCTGCAGCTGGATGAAGCATTTTTAGAAAGTTAGGTGGAGTCAGAGTAACTTTTCACCAATGGCATGGTATTGAATTATTGTGGCCAATAGCTAAGGTAGAAGAAGGGTAAACAACTGGAAAGCGTAAAAAAGATCAGCCATTTTCATTAATAAACTGTTGCCAAGTGTTACCAACTGAGACTGCTTGTGGTCTCTGCTTTATGTCGTGACCGCCTCGACTGCGGCACCTCTGACTCCATCTTATCAGAAGGTTAATTAATTACTTTATTATACTATATTATTCTATATTATATAACACTATATTACATTACATCTAAACTGAATCTGCCAAGCACTCAACTCTGCACTGAATTCCGTGACTGTCAGCTGACAGTCCTCACACACACACACTTGGCCCTGATAGGCCAAGGAAACAAAACACCATGACTTTGGGTAAACAATCTCTATACTGCATTCTACTTCTGCACAAACACAGGCACAGCACAAATGCAGCCATCGCCTGTCGCAGACATTTTTTCACAGAAATCCTTTCTTTGGGATTTGTGCATCTTCTGGGAAGCAAAGGCCCCAGAAGAAGAATGTAAACAATTGTTATCGGCTGCTGTGAAATGTAGCAGGTGCTCCTGTGATTGGATCATGTTCCGTGTTTACAACTGGGGGCCAATCACAGGACCAAGCTCGGGGACAGATTCCCTGGATACAGAACTTTGTTATTCATTCTTGGCTATTCTATTCTTAGCTTAGCAAGCCTCTGCAACTTCTCTCTTTATTCCTATTAGTACAGTAATAATGTATTATATATCATATATCAATAAATGCAGCCTTCTGATCATCAAACAAGATTCTCATCCTTCTCTCACCCCAGCGACCTCCTCAGGTCGCTGTAATAATCGCCTATAAAAACACCTGTAAATACTTTTTGGTTCAAACAGTCTAGGTACTTAGATATTAAAATGCCATTCAATGCCACAAACCTGAGAAGTCCCAATCCTCCGTGCTGGCGCAATAGGCTTTCAGGAATTGATTAAAGGCACGATTGCGCCAGCAAAGCAAACGTGGTGCAACACAGAGCATCTGCCAAGGGAAGCACAAAGGAAGGGTGCCAGTACCTTCTGAATGCCTGCCGTGGACTCGAGGACGTTGTTCTCGGAGCCGTTGCTCCTGTTGATCATGCGCCACATCTGGGCGTACATGCTGTCCCTCTCGAAGGGGTTCATGCCCTTCACCCGCACGTGCTCGTACACGGCCGAGTCCAGCACGGTGCCGTACGGAATGTCCGTCTGCCGCGACAGATCCTGCAGGGACCTTCAGTGGTGGGGAAGGAAAAGAGACACGGGAGGCTTTAATGCACTTTGTCAAGAGGAAGGAGCTGCAGGCAAACAAAGGGCAACGCAGAGGAAGACAGGTGTCATGACACTTTCTTCTATTGGGCTTTTTCCCCCTTTTTTTTAATGATTTAAGACACAAAGAGCAGTATGAAGAGAAAGGAAGGGGTGGAAAAAGTGAAAATGGATGAAAAAGGAAGAGAAGGGGCAAGAAGGTGCTGGGAAATGCCAAGCTCCTTTGAGCAGGGGCAAGGGAAAGGCAGGGAACATTGGAATCAGAATCGCCCATCTACAGTGCAAACACACACCCTGCTGTGGGGAGCTGGTGGCAGCACCAGAACTCAGGAAATCCATCCCAGAGCACCTGGACAGAGCAGTTTCAGCAATAAGAATATTTCTGTTGCATTTTCATGAACTGCTTTTTCATCATACTTTCATGTTATTTAGTCTAATAAAACTGTTCTGCTTTACTTGTTATGTAGTCTTACCCTTCTCTATAAACCAAAATAAATAAACAATTTTCAAACCATTTTCGAAGTTTTTAAAACATCCCAAATGGGGTTTGGTCAACCAAACTTGCTTTGAACTTCAAAACTGTATGTTAGAACCATTTAAAGTTTCCTTACCTCTTGGCTTTTATTTTCCTTTCCTGTTGAATTGCTCTCCAGTACCTTTGATTCTTTAATGGCACTCATTAAAATTTCAAAGTAACTACTGCAATACGTCTACTGCTTAAAACCCATTACAGCTTTCCCAGCACAAATTAACTGTGTATAAACTGCACAAATCTAGTGGATGACGCATAAGGACAATCAAGGAGCTCAATGCTGTCTTAAAGAAGGCAATAGCAAATTGTAAAAGCTTATTACAGACACAGAAAATGCAAACAGCAACGTAGGAAACTCATCCAATTCCAAGCTGTATTTCTAAAAAATGTAAATATGAAGGCCAGTGAAAATGGCCCTGTGGGGTGGGGATTGGAAGAAATGAAATTCTTAGGTGCAATGAGGATGGCACTGAAGAAAACAGTAATGACATCTCACAGGATATGCATGCCATGAACAAAACAGAAAGCAGGAAAAGAAGAAATCAATAGAGATCAATGGCAAGAGTCTAGATGTTAGCTGAGTAAAAGAGAAATCCTTTGAAGCTTAGACATATGGGTTTAGAAAAACATTGACCAAGAGCTAAATTCTAATCAGATAACATATGGTAATTATAAGGAAGGGATAAATGTAATTGTGAGGAGTAAATAACTAATGGTATTAAAACCTCTCAAAATTATCTCACTTTCTCCAACAAGATTGCATTCCTTTTAAACAGAGAACCTGCAAAGAATCTCTACATATATGGAATCATCAAAGGCATGTACTGCATGTAACATTTCCTGAAACCAAGTGTGTTGATATTCTACCAGAGGTCCATGACATGCTCTGTTCTATGAGGAAAAATATGAGACTCTGGCAGACTAAGGCATCAGGACAATAAGTACTGTGGTACTTATTGCAACTGAATAGTAAAAAAAAAAGAATTGTCAGGTCCAGATAAACACCTAAGAGTTGTGAAAGATTAAATATAAAATGGCTGAGCTGTAAGCAAAAATGCGAAACCTCCTTACAGCCAATGAGCAAAAGGAATGCAGTAAATATTTTAAAAAGTGGCAGTCAGGGGAATTACCAAAGTAAGGTACTTAGGTCATATGCTTAAGTTTAATAAACATACTGAAATAAGGATTAATACATTTTTAAAGGTCAGTCCTGAAGTCTAGATATAGACACCAGGTAGGTTTCTCCAGGGAAAACAAGCAAATCATCTATTACACTTTGAAATTACTCAGAAACCCCTCAGAATTTCAAAAAGAACTTCCTCCCACCAAACAATGTACAGACAGTGGAAGCAGACGGACAATCTTCACAGGACGAGTTTGGAAACATTTCCCAGCAACTCTGGGTAGCATGAGAAATATTCAGCAAGAGCAGATGCTCTCGAGGGATTTCAAGGGTAACAAGAACAGCTTTTGCAGAGCTAAAAGGCTGAACAAGAAGAGTGTGACCCTGTGGATGGGGACAGCAGTCACAGCTACAGCTGAGGCACTCAGTGCCTGCATTGCCTCACTCTTCCCCACCAAGGTCCCCCAGGCCCTTGTGACTACAGGCAGAGTTCAAGAAGACATGTTCAACAAACAGTGACAGGGTTCAACTAACAATGAGCAGTAAGTTGTCAGGTAAATCCCAACCAGACAAGGCAGGGATTGATTGGGATCACTAGATCCATAGAAATCAGAGTGCGCTGAGAAAGCTGGCCTGTGTCCTTGCAAGGCCACCAGCTTTAATTTTTGCAAGGTGAAGGAGGCTAGGGGAGATTCCTTGGTACAGGAGAAAGAAAATATCCAGACTATATTAAGAAAGTGAAAAAAGATGATTCATGGAATTACTGCTGGTCGTCCAACCTCAAGGAGTGAGTCCTTAGCAGATTTCTGAGCACATGAAGGAAAAGCAGACTAGAGGCAGCACTCAACATTGACTCACCAAAAGTAAGTCACGCCTGACCAATTTGGTTGCCTTCTACACTAAAATTACTTCATTTGTGGACAAGACTAGAGACACTGACATAGATTACCTTTAGCAAGGCAGCCTGCCTATCTGCCTGCCACAATATTCTTGTATCCAAAGGAGGTCATTAGGTACAGCAGTGTGGGAAAGCAGATTTGATAAATTCCCAATTGGATTGTCCTGCAGGCTGCTACCAGGTACCCCAGAGGTCTAACCTGGGACATGGCTGTACCAGTGATTTGGAGGAGGTAAGCAAGCACCCTCCTGTCAAGTTTGCAGATGGCATTGCATGGAGGGACCTGCTCAAGGACAGGCTGAAGTTCAGATGGGCCTAGAAAGGCTGGAGCAATGGGGTGTGAAATTCAGCAAGGACAAATACAAAGCTCTGTACCTGGGGATGAATAAAACCCTGCAACAGCCAGGCTGAGCACAGCTCTGCAGAAAGGCACCCTGGCAGGCAGCAGTGGGTCTTGCTGAGAGCTTCTCCTTATTCTACCATTAGGCAAAGTGTTGTGCAAAGTGCTGACAGTCTGTCTATCTGTCAAAAGCATCACTGATGAAAGGCACTAGATAAACACAGCACACTGTATTCATCCATTCTGCTCCTGCTGCTGCTGCTGCTGCTGCCAGTACATTCCTGTAATCAACTGGCAGCGCTCAGCAGTGCAATGAGCTGTCACAAGATGCATACTGCAATGTCCTGTAATTGTTATTTGTCATACCAGAAAAGTGTACCAAAAGTATTTATCTGGTCTCCAATTTCTAGTGACAACACTTAGTAAAATTGCAATCATTACAGGACTCTGTATAGCCATTTAATTTCTAATATAACAAGCAACAAAGCATTTTTTTGGATATATCATTGCTAAGCAGGATATAATTGACAGGTGTAGCTGCTGCCACAAATCAGTTAAAAGCAGCACAAAAGAAAAAGAGCTCCTGTGTCTATCTTGTGGCTATAAAAGCAACTTTGTTATTTTCAGAAGGGCAAACCAGCACAAGACAAGAGCTATTAGTCTTGGAGTGTACTACAGCCAGGTATGGGAAGCAAACAGGCTGGGAAGCAAGCGTGCTATCACACACAAAGGCACCACCAGCAGGGAAATAACAAGGAGAAGAATTATGTCAATGCCTTCAGGAAGGCATGTTGTAGCTGCCACGTGTGGCATTAACTGGAGTCTGCAGTGCCTCTCTGTTAGATGTGCTGCCCTGAAGTGCAGGATGCCTCTCAGCTGCCCTACTTGTGTCTTTTCACAGTCACAGGTGAGGCTCCACGCTGAGAAAATGATGACAAGAGGACAAAAGCAAGACAAATATAAGTGTAAACTCTGTGGAGGGGCTAAATGCTGTTGTTGGCAGTAAACCCAAAGTTCTGGTTCACCTGACCATATGCTGAGGAGCAAGAAAGCAGTCTGGGAGCCTTGGAGGTGTACCTGGGTATATACTGCTGCACAGGCAAGCTGCAAACACAGCAAAGATCCAGCACACATCAGTGACTCCCTCCCCTCACACAAACATGTAAAATGGGATCATAATATACAAGACCTCCTTCAGAAGCTGTTTGTTTAATAACCCACAGCTCTGCCAAGTGCTGCTGAGACACTCAACCTAGAAGGTACAGCAAAACAAAGCACAGAAAAACAAAGGGAAATGACAAACTTTGAGAGAGCTACTAGAATTATTAAACCACTGAGGTTCCTTTACAGAAGAAAGAACTCTTAAAACTGCTGGTTTATAGGTTACACATTTGTTGGTGTACCTATGTTCCTGGATTAAACAGCTCATTCTCTTTTCAGACAATTGCCCTTAGTGGACACGTAAATCCTCAGCCTCACTCTTGTCCCCCAATTTCACCAACACAGCTGCCACACCAGATCTCAAAATAAAGAAAAAGCATTTGTGAAGATAGTGAATTCCTGCAAGAGATCCTTTGATGCCCAAATCCTGATTCCATTACCCACACTGAAATGTAATTTTTCGATAGTTCCCAGACAAACTATATGCAAAGCAAAGCACTCATTAGCATGAGTAAGCAAATGATAATTTCATATTTTAAAACTTTTCTCTTTGAATTTCTAGTTTTGAAGCAACAAGGTATTGAATGATAAAAATTGTTAGAAAATATAAAAAAGCAGATGTAGCTCAAAAAATTGTTAATAAATTAGATACCTTTAACTGAGTTTGTGTACAGAAAAATTCTGCCTCTAGGGAAGTGACCATGCAGTCAGAACATTCAGCTTATTTTTGTCTATCACTCATGCAGCATTGTGAGGAAAAATATTATGTGTGGTCTTTATAATAAATTTTTTTCTCATTGCAATTACTGGGATAATACCAATATTATCCCAGCATCAATATTATCCTAAATTAACTAGGCTAATAGGGCTATTTTGAGAAGGAATTTAATCAATTGAGGAAGAGTTATTAAGAGATAGATGTATTTTTCAGCATTTGTTGCTTTTGCTTAGTATTCTACACCTTAATCAGGCAGCAGTTGTCAGGTCATTTTCATTTTATGGCTTAGTACAAATCAGCTACTTTGCAATTTAAGAAATTATCTCTGCCTACAGCTAGAAGAAAAATGTAGTAGGATTTGGATATGTTTCTTTCTCCAGAGCATACCCTTTTCTGTAAATTCAAATCCTAGACTCAGAATTGGTAACATGTTCACGTATGTCAGCCAAAAAGTGTTAAAAAAGTACGCAGAAAAATGTTGCAAAGCAAAAAGTCAGCTTCATAAAGAAGTAACTGAATTTCTTTTTAGGTGATAAAATACCACTGAGGTCAGAGACTGGCATCAACACACCTTTGTAAACCTGGGTTATAGATCAATTCAGGCTAGCTGTGCTAGACTTGAGGGCTGCACAGAGCTGTCTGCAAGATCTGGTCACTAAATTTTCAGCAAAAAACAACCAATGTCATGGCCTACACTGAAGTCTTTATTTATGACTGATTCAGATAAAGTTTTCAGTGCTTTTGTGGGTATTTTGTTCATTTGTCTGGTTGTTGTTTTTTTTTTTTTCCCCTTAGGACGGTAAGGAATAATTCAGAAGCAGATATAGGGTTAGGGAACAGGGCACATTATGCCAAGGGGTTTGACTGTTGTCAGGGTGAGCTGTGGCAGAAACCGGTAATATTGCTTGCAGGCTGAACCATGTTAAAGAAAAGATTAATGGACATGCATCGGGCAATATCTAATTACTGCATTCTGTGCAACCCCCTTGCAGAAATCCTGCAGTCAGCTCCACTGAGCTCTATAAAGCCTTAAGGAATTCCTAGCTTCAGGTGAATCATGGTTTAGCAAAACGTTGGGAAAAGAATGGCTAAGAAAGAAAGACCTGCTTTCCCACTATGCCTCCATTTTTGGAGGCAGAGGTCTCACCTAGCAAACAAGACACACTTGTTATAAAATGGAGAACATAATGTGAACTTCCGATTTTACAGAAGAAGACAAAAGATGCACACTTCCCCCCACAACATGTACAATCTAAACTCTCACGCTTACACATTTTAGAAGTGGATTAAACTTGAAACCACCTAACACCAGGCTTTATATGGCAAATACTTTGACTTCTTCTCTGTTCACCCATTCTCACAACCTTCCTGCAAAATGTCAGTGCTCATGAGGTGGTGACACTCCCTCCTAATCCAGAAACACAGTGCAGTAATTTGAATAAAATCAATCTCTGCCAATGGACTCTAATTTGATCCTAAAGGAATCATAAAACATAATAATGTCAACACTGGCTCAATGATGAAATTAAGAACATGAGCACCTCCTAGAAATAGCTCAGGACCTTCAAATTCATTTGGCATTTACCAAGAAAAGCCTCTCCTAATTACTATTAATTTATGTTGTATTTGCAAAAGTTATCTAAAGATTTAAAAGCATAGAAATTATGCTTTGCTGCCACAGTGTTATGGCATTTGAAATGCTGACTGTCTTGATTTAAATGTCATCTGCAGCTTGGGTCAAGTGGGAACAAAAGATGCATCTAGGAACTACTTCAGAACTTGAGTGCCTCTGCTCTTGATATTGTGTGTCGGCAGAAGGTGAAAAGCTGAGCTCCCAAAGGTACTAAGAGTAGCCATTTCTCTGGAAAAGCAGATTTAACACCCATTCTTTTTCTTCTAGTTTCTCTGAATTAATTTAAAAACTGCAAAAAATTTGCTTCAAACTGAGCATTGAGGCAGAGCACAAATGCCATCAAGTGAGGTTATACAGCAAAGATCTAATTTGAAACTCTACAGGGAAAGGGAACACTTATTTCTCTAAGGGTCCTCCTTAGTGGATGGGCTGATAAAATTTTGCATGCTTTGCTACTCCAAACAGAGCTCTGGATACCATGAGACACTGACTAGCAAGAATGGCCCAGCCTTCACTCCAGCTGCAAGAGCTCTGAACACAAACTAGCTTCATATCCAAAAGCTGAAATGCAGTAACTACCAAATGTTTCATGGAAATGAAATGTGCTGTAGGCTGCTTGAATCCTCCTATCTTTTTTAAAAGGTATCATGAGGACCATACCTACAACAACACACTGTAATATCTGATGCTAGCTAGAAATCTGAAATGAAAAACTATTAACTACTTTTTATATCTGTGCAAACCCACTGATTTCACTTTCTTTTCTTTTTTCTGGCTTGTCTAAAGCTGGCAAGCACTACCAGCAGAATCGGGATTATTTTTTTTAATGCTTATACTCATTTCCATTCTGGCCTTGAAGGCTCCCCAAGGTACAATTTGAACTGTTAAAAAAAAAAAAAAGAAAAAAGGAAAAAAAGAAGCATCAGCTTTTCTTCTTTATTGCTTATTCATGTTTTCCACTTTGCAGTAATTCAGCATGATAAACAAACCTCATCTCTCTTATGTGCTGGTTTAAGTTCCAATTTTGGCAGTTTTGTAAACCGAAGTTTTATACTCACACCATAGTTAGGATAACTTCATTCCCTAGTGGATACTAAACACATCTAATTACTCTATTTTTGAGCTGGAAGTGCTGTTGAAAGATGTCTGTTCTTTTATTCCAGGAGCTTTCCAGCTGCAACATTTTCTACTGAATAAAACATTTTCAGTGACTCTGCCCATAAATAATACAGCACAAAGACCAATGTAATCCCAACTGTACATAATAACCTCAAAATTCCACTGAGGCTTTTCTAGTGACATCATAATAAACTGCAAGAAAAATATGAAGATGTATTAAATTATAGTTTGGGTACATTTCATTCTTTTTTGCACATCATAAGAAAACACAGAGATTTGTCACAGTAATTTGAACATTTTTCTTGACTACTTCAAAACTAGAAGGGACATGATTTCAAAGCAGAATGCAGAAGCATATTTCATTCTTCTAGGGACAAAATGAATAAGTGACTATAACATTATAATTTATTCTGCTTATATAAATTCCCATGTTGTTTCTTCATAGTCCTTAGTCAAATTTAAATTGTTTAAAACTTAAAAAAAATAAAAAATCAACTTCCCTCAAAATATCAAGATCAATGCTGACAAACATTGACACGGAATATCATTTTACTCCTATCCAAATTTTGAAGGGATTATAATTGAAGCTATGGAGTCAAATGGTTGGATTGTGTCAAAATACCAAAATCTGTTATTCAGAACACACAAAAAAGAAAAGGTAACTTGATTGAACTTGCAATACAACTGTATCAGGGGAGTAATTTTCTCATTTCCTCATGACTTTAGTCTATTTTATATATCTCTGTCTTAGAGTATGGAGCCCTCTAATAGATGAAAGTGGTGAGGCTGTTACCTCAGAAAGGAAGGATAACAACCACAGAAGATTTCCAATTTGGAGTGTAAGGACTTGCAAAGCCTGGGCAATTTGGTCCATGGAACACCAAGTTCTCCCTCTACCCAAGGGTCAGGACATAACCATGCACTCAAAGTTAAGTGCTGATTCTGCCCTTGGGTCCAGCTTGGGCTTCAATTGCAAATGAAACTTGTCTGCTATTGAAGAGGTTTGCCAGCCTGTGTGAAAGCCTGGATTGGTTTTAGCTCACAGAAAATCCTCACCCAGAGAAGAAGTACCTTTGTGTGAGCAGAGTGACTGCTGGCACACAGCGATGCTTGATCCTGACCTGTGAACTCACAGGAGGCCAAGGCTCCCCCTGCTCAGTCTGTGACAGTGGCTCACTGCCTCAAGGGGAATTTCAGAGAGATTTTGAAAGCAGCTGAACTAGAGGCAGAAGGACCTTAGGTGATGATACACACAAGCCAGGGACTTGGATCAGTGACTGGGCTGGGAAAACGGAATTTTCCCTAAGGTCAGCATTGAGCCTGACTTGAAGGTCAAGTTCTTACCTTTCTGGAGGAAGAAACACAGTGAAATGTGCCTCTCTTCTTTAAAGTCACTCTGAGATTTTTGCAAAGAAGGATATATAAGAAAGGGTAATTTTGTCACTCTTACAAACTTTCTCAGACTTGTAGGCTCAAGATTAATCTGCTATGAAAAAATGGCCAGCTGTCCCTCACAGTGCTTGGCTAGCTAATGCTTCCCTGTATTTTCTAGTCTGTGCTTTGACCCAGGAGTGAGCATTTGAAGGTGAAGGTTATCACTGGAGCAATGGGAGCGAGGATAACTCAGTATCCTAGGTGAAGGAGAGGATATTGGAGTACAAAAGGGCAGAGAGAGAGGATAGGAGACCTAGAAAGGCTCCTGTGGTATGGAAAGATGACATGATCTTCAGAAAAAGACTGGAAGGTGTGACAGAAAGAGTTCACCATAAAAGGGACAGGAGAAGACCAGGACATTGTTTTTTGGGAGGCATGAAGCAAACGAAACAAATACACAGGAAAAAGAGAGCCACATGATCTGCTTATGTAGTAAGAGGGCTCCTGGGAGCAGGAGCAAAGAGGGGCTCCTAAACCAGTGAGTTTATTACTGGTTGTTGCTGTTAACACATCTCTACTTTGGCAAGAATGGGTGAAATCAGCTCTGAGCTCCCCATACATTGAAAAAGCATTGAGGTCTTCCTGACCAGTGTTAGAATGCAAGCATTGTGGAATGCACAATGCAAAGCAGCAGCAATTTATACTTTCCTATTTCAAACACTGACACTGTGTGGTCATCTCAAACTCAATTGCCTCTCTCAAAATATGTATGTGTGCAAACATACATATGTATGTCTGCCACAGGGAAAAGCATCTGCTAGAGGCCAACAATTCCAATCCTAAAAACAAAGTGTCTCCAGGGAGACCGACAGTCTCTCACAGTATATTGTTATTTTTCTAACTTTCCAACTACTTCTCAAGGAAGATAAACATTTATTCCTGTTCTCACATTTAAGTAGAACATTTATACCCCTCTACATGTATATTTATGTTCGCCCTCCTTTCCCTTGAATCATTCTTTATCAACTTACTGGATGGAGTTCTCAATGCGTGTGATGGTGAGGAAAGCTGCTAGGTTGGCCGTGTAGGAGGAGATGACAATCAAAGCAAAAAGCCACCAGGCTCCCATCATCAGTCGGGTTGCCAGGGTTGTGTATGGAACCTCTCCTCCTGTGGGGAAGAAGGAAAAGCAAGAATTTTCATTTGGCAGAGGAATGCTCGTGCATCGCTCAGGATAACTGGACCCCAAGGTTAACAGCTTAAAGCAGTCCATTAAAGCCTGGTGCTTCAGTGAACTGAGCAGGATTGGGAGCTGCAAGGAAAAGCACTGAAGGAAGCCCACACTGTCAGTTGTCATTCCTGTGTTTAATCTCTTTTGCTATTGTGCCTTTAATTGCAGTTCATCTGCCAATCCTGTCCAGTAATGGAAATAGACTTCTACATCTCAGAACAAAAGCAGCCAAAGGAAAATCTTACAATGTTCTTTCCTTAGAGATCTTATCTACAAACCTTAATTAAGTTTTTCTTTCATTCTGGGGAACGTAAAGTCAAAAAATCCCATCAAACCACAATTACTTTTCACAGTTCTGTAGGCAGGCAGATGCTCGTGATAACCGTATGTATTTGTACAACTTGCTGCAAGTGAACTTGGACACACAGGGAAAAAAAATCACACGTATTTAAGAAGAAAGCAAACATTGTTTTGTATTCCTCTAGTTGCTTTCCTTTAAAATCCAACTGCCAGGTAAACAGAACATGAGCAGCAATTAAACCTCCCAGGATGAGCTGCAGGCCATCGATTGTGCGACAAGAGTCGAGAAATGCAAGCCATGAAAAGCAGCAGTTTTTATTCAAACACCTGCCCCAAAACACACTAGTTTGGAGTATTTGCAAGAGCTCTTTCTCTTAAAAAAATAGAGAAATATCAGATTTTTAGATGGAGGAAAATGCTATTTTTTTAAATCCCCCTTTTGTCTGCAGTATGTTTTGTCACAGCTACAAGTAACTAAGGGGGGATAGGTGAACACAGCAAACACCCACAGTCAACTGCTCAAGATGCTCACCCTTTTCCTCTGCCTCTACACTCAGCAGTTTGAGAAATTGATATTGTTTTTGAGGTAGGTTTCTCCTAGGAAAAATCTTATGATGGTACAATGTCTGGGATTTGCAAAAGCAATTGTTACCAATTCAACCATCTGTGGATAGTTTGTTTTGTACTTAGTAAAAACTCCTTAATGTTTCCACAGCAAGTAGGTGTAAGGGAATACAAATTAGAATTATTCCCATTCCAAGAACAAATAATTTTCACTTATGTACAGAAATGCAGTGTTTAATCAGTGTTGTCTATTAAGGATGCTCTTACTGCTTTATTCAGAATTCTTCTTACCTATAAAAACCACTGGGGACTCTGCATTGCCATACCAATTTGAAAGTTTTGTCCTGCATCAGTGATGTGGAATTGTGCTGTATATGAAATAATAATTGACTCCATTCACTTATACTTTTGGTATATAAACACTCAAATCCTTTGCCTTTTGAGAATTCCAGAAGTGACAGACAGAAGCTCTTAGACCTAAACATCTGGAAACAAGTTTTCTTTTATTTCCAACATGCCAAGTAATCATCTGAAATAATAATCTATTGATCAGACTGGGAGATATCATTTCAGTCTAAGGATTATCAAAGATGAACATTAACCTCAACATCTGAAGATTTGGGTTTGTCTGCTGCATGAATTTTTAATTACTTTTAACAGAGTATTTCTACTTTACAACAGTTTTGCAATGTCTTTTAAATACTTAATTAAAAAATGATTTTTCAATACAATGAAAAGAGCAATTATATCCATTTATCAGAAAAGGCTGTTTGTCCTTTTAACTTTCAGGTGCCAATCCCTGCAGATAATCCTCAAACTTAATTGGAATGGCTAGTGGGATTGAGAAGAAACCAATGATATTTTGGATATCCTTGCATTTTTCAGCTTAATGAGTAAAACTCCGAAATTCTCACATTTTTTAATTGAAATTAAATGTCAGAAGAGAGAGGACCATTGAAAGTCATACACCTGCCTTCTGGTTCAAGCGAGGATGCTGTGCATCAACTGAACACAAAAGCCACTAAAGATCTCTCAGCCACAGCATTCCCTACTGTCCACACAGCTTTCCCATACTTTGATAAAGTTTTCCCCACTATTCACTTTTACTTCTTCCTTTTCCGTCCCACGTTAAAAATAGACTTTAAAACCCATGAATGCTGGCTAGCCCAAGTGCTTTTACTTCATCCTGATGTTTGTGAATCTTTGTTCCTAATTCACAGTTGTTCCTTGTATACCAGCAGTCAATAAATGAAGCTTGAGGACAAAGCTTGTATTGAAGTACATGTACAATAAACACATATCAAAATAATTCCTCACTCCTCTAAAAATTTTTGTTCTGAGGCTTCTTAAACCACCATTTCTAAAGCAGGGCTGAAACCACAAGAGCCTAAGTGCATGATTTTTTTTAAAGCAGTATAGGCAGCATACTCCACCTTTCCCAGTAAAAGAAGAAAAGAAACAAAAAACCAAAGGAGATCTTTTACTGCCATGGTACCATTTCTTTGGCATCTATTAGGAGACTTAAAGTGACACAGTCTTGTTCCATTTTACTCCTTGCTAAAACACTTCCTGCACCATGACAGTTCACCTTAAGAAACCTCTTAATTCTCCCCAGTTTTGTTTCTGGGGACAAAAATTTCTGAAGTTTTCTTTGAGTCCCAATCCACATTTTCTCAGTGCAGAAGAGTACCTAGTCACTCAGGAGAGCAACAATCACGGCTTTTCCATTAACATTACCAGGACAGACAGCCACAGACCTAAAAGATACTAAACTCTACTTTAAATTAGTGTGCAGGAGGGACAGGCATGCAAACCTCCCTGAGCTCTGCTTTCCCAGACCTAGGATGAGTTTCAGATGCGCTGACACCTTTATGGATCATGCCATGTTCCAGTTACAAGATGTTACACATGCAGCATAAAGCAGGAGGGAGCCAAAAAGATGGAACAAATCTTTGCCTGTTGCTGTCTTTCATATCACACCTGCAAAGCTTAGTGACCCCTAATGGCAAAGGGGGCCACCTGTGCAATGCAGACCCATGTTGATGACCACAGTTCTATGACATCTCACTCCTATAGCAAAGTTCATCAGTGGAGGCCAGCACAGTGGTTGTGGTCACAGTAAAAACACTGCTGCTCTTGGGGCATGATGAGCAGTGCTTAAAAGTACTGAGCCCCACTCATGAAACCAATGGAAATCATAGAAGACAGCAATCCAGGAGTTGCTTTGTCACATTAAAAGACATCTCAAAGGACTACAGAGGCTATATTATCATTTACTGTGGCCTTTCCAATACACCTGCAGAAGGGTATAAGGCAGCAAAAAATTCCACTACCTCTACATCACCTACGTTGTGGCTGCAGCTCCCAGAATAATTCATCTGACATGTAATGGGTGCTAAAATCACTTAGAAAAATGTAATCTGCCTTTAAAATCTTCATGTGCAGGAAGGGACAGATATTTTCCAGAGTAAACTGAACTAAAAAAAATCAATCTTATTGGGAGTTTTCTGAAAAAGTTGAATTGCTGTAGAAGTCACAGTGAAAGAAATTACTTTTAGTCCTCCCTCATTCATCTAATGCAGCTCTCCTTCATCAATCCTGGACCATTTTAATGCTGGCCTACTTCAGATGACAGGCTTAGACTGCAACTTATCTTATAAATTTCTGTTTATTCTCGTTTCTTTCCAAGTGCTTCAAGCTAAATAGAAGGCAGGAAAAATAATGCATCATCCTGATAATGCAAAAAATAATATGCATAATTATGACAGACTTAAATACCAAGGTAAAACCCAACTTAGAGGACAAAATGTGAAACTATAGCATTAACACACATATTTTTACTTTAAAAAAATTATTTTCCCTCATTAGTATTTAGTTTAAAGGTTTCTTCACATCAAAAATCACCAGAGGAGTATAGGCAAGAAGGAAGAATGAAAACACAGGACAAACAGGCAAAATAGGGAAATTCAGGATCACAGCATGGTAAGATCTTGATATTTTATAATTCTGGATTGAATTTGAAGAATTCAAAATGCATAGGCTCTTTTTCCAGACATCTTGTCTTCAGGGATCTGTCAATTGTTTGCCTGAAGAAAAACTGCAGTGATTTGAGCTTCTGTGTAAGGAGTTTTCCAGCTAATTTAAAGAACCATGAAAAATACGTTAATTGTGACTGCTTTGTTGAGGAACTGTAATGCCATCAAAATTAAAAGCAAGAATCTCAACTGTGCTTGGAAAAGGAAGGTGAAGAAATAATAGGGTGGGTTATCTGGGGACAGATTTTGATTCTGCTTTTTCCTACAAAAATTCTGTCCACATTCAGTGAATTACTAGCCTTTGGTAAAAAAGCACAAAGGACTTGGGAGCTGGCTGCAGTTTAGCCTTTAGCCTGTTAGAACAGTCACATCAATTATGCTGTGCATCTGCAATTTCCATAAATAAAGAGGTGCAGATGCCTGTTGCAAACAGTTTAGATCAATGCATGTCTTCTGTATTCTTTGTGAGGGGGACATTAATAGAGAGTGCATGTGAGGGAAGTAGTTTGTATTAACAAAGAGGAAAAGGTATTTTATATTTCCACTTTTTTATTGCACTAGAAACAAAACCTGAAGTTTGACTGAGCTCTGTGATCTTTGTAAAACTCTGCAAAGCAGAACTCTTCAAAGGCAGAACCTTTCAGAGCATTAGCTATTGCCATTGTTCTGTTAAAAACTTTCCTGATAATATAAAATCTCACCTATTTCAATTGGAAATGTTCAATTCAGTATAGGACAAAAAAAAATTTTACAGTCAATGAAGCCCATACCTATTTCTACCAGCTGTGAAATAAATGCAGCTTGGAAGTTGTCAGGAAATTTCTCATCATGAATTTTTCTTCCCTTATTTTCATTTTTTTGGTCTATTCTTTTCCATTCTTCCTTGAACTTTGCTTATGTTCATCCATAACATTTAAGCTGGCATGCCATAACCTGAGCTTGTAATATTCCATTTTGTGCTGAAGTTAACACCCACTGACCACAGCAGGCACGACAAATTATTCCACAGGAGAATACAACTCCTTGAATTGGTAATGCCT